CTCGTAGTGATAGTGTATTAGGCTAAAACTCACCCTTTCCGCAGAAAAGAATGTATTTCAAGATGGCAACTGCTGTGTCATCATTTTTTCCCTTTCTGGACCGTATGAGAAATCCTTTAGAAAACCCTACTCTTCAAAAGCACGGCTTGTTTTCCAGCTGCAGTTTGCTCTCCTTCCACTAGATGGCACTGGCACACCATCTTTCTTTACAGAGTCGGTCAGGAAGAGGAAAAGGCCCACGGCAGGCCAAGTTCAAGTCCAAGTCAGCAGGGTAGGACACTTAGTCAGGAGAACAAAACAGAGTGACTCTGAAGCGATCATAGGGCTAAACTAGTACTGATTATAGAAATAAGAGAGAGACACTACTGAACAAGGTATGTGTGAGGAAGGTGTCAAACCCTACCAAAAACGAAAAGCAGAGAAGGAAAAGGACGCGTGGGTATCACTGGGTTTCCCCTCACAGACCGAAGGAAAAACATGGCATTAACCTTTGACTTAGAAAGGACGTTTTAATCACACAGGTCACTCCCGTTTAATGGGCAACCTGAAAAATGTCTCATAGTTCTGAATTTGATGTTAAGATATATTTAATAACAATAGCCAGAGTAATAACGGTTAAATATTCTAATGAACAAAGGAGGAGCAGGGCCAGCAGGTGGTGTGGTGGTTAAGGTGGCCGGACTCCCACACGGCTGACGGTGGTTGAAAATCATGACAGCCATGTGTACGCATGCTCCAGATCTGAGAACAGAGGACTGTGGCACGGGCATCCCCCGGGGGTGATTTCTCACTTTCTCTCTCTCTGGTGAGTGCACTCTCTGTATGGCAAACAAACGAACAAACAAAAACATTAGGACTATTTTCCCATCTGTCTCAAAAATATCAACTGTCCCTGTAGATTACCTGCCCACTTTCCTGTGCTGGGGTCATGAATACCAACTCAGCATAATACAGGGGCTTGACACAGCGAAGAGCAAAGGTTCTTTTTATGAATGGTTTTTAAGAGACTGAGCTGAATAACTTAAAAGGATACTGCCTCCAATAGAGTATGTGTATTTTGTATATGAGGAATAATGAATTTCAAAGAAGTCTGTGGAAACAGTATTAAAGTATGAAATTTGGTTTAAGATATTTTGAAATTCATGCATAGATTTTTTTTTTTAAAAAAAGTTACTTTTGGGACCAGCAGTTAGTGTAATGGCTATGTCGCTGGATTCCCACGTAGTCGACCGCGGTTTGGGTCCCGGACCCGGTGGCTTAAAACTCACGCCGGGCGCGTGTGCGTGCGTGCCCAAGATCCCGAGAGGAGAATGGAGGAGAAGGGATTGTGGCGTGACCATCCCCCCTGGGGGGTGATTTCTCGCTTTCTATCTCTCTGTCTCTCTCTGTCTGGTGAGCGCACGCACCCTATAGCAAAAACCTCTCCAAAAAAAAAAAAAGAAAGAAAAACACAAACAAAAAATAATTACTTTTATTTAACTTTATTTATCCATTTATTTTAATTAGACCAGAGGGATAGTGAGAGGGAGAAAGAGCAAGAAAGAAAGTGAGAAAGTAAGTCACAGGTCCAGGACTTGAAGTGCAGTCGGCCATGTGGGAGTCCAGCGCCTTAACCACCATGCCATCTACCGGCCCTTAGAGTTTTCATAATACATGTTTTTCATGAACTTTTTGAAGACTCTTCATACATATTAACATTTCTCTATTATTTTGTTCCTACTTTACAAAAATTTTATTTTTTTGCTATAGGGCACATGTACTCATTGGAGACAGAAAAACAGGGAGAGTGAACAGAGAAAGAGACAGAGAGAAGGGAAAGTGAGAAATCATCCCCCCTGTGGGGTGTTGGCCACAGCAATCCCTTCTCCATTCTCTCAGGATTCTGAGCATGCACATGTGACCTGCGTGTTTTTCAAGCTGCTGAATGTGGAACTTGAACTGTGCTGGGGGCCATATGGGATCCAGTCACCTTAACCACCAAGCCTCCTAGCTGGCCCCTGTATACGACATTTTTAAAATAATTTTTTAATGCCAGAAGGTGCATGTGCTTGCCAGACAGAGAGAAAGCACCACAGTCACACCAGAATCCTTTCTCCTTTATTTTTTTAAAAGATTTGATTTACCTTTATTTATTTATTTATTTATATTAATTTGACCAGAGAGGGACAGAGTGAGAGAGAGAAAGTGAGAGTGAGGAAGCAAGCCGCCAGGGCCAGGACTTGAACTGTGGTCGGCCATGTGGGAGTCCAATGCCTTTAACTACCATGCCACCTGCCGATATCCCCTTTCTCCTTTATTTCTCCATCTCATCAGGGTTTGGGGCATGCACACCCATGCACATGCCTCTGGCATGCTTTTCAACTCACCAGGGCAGGGATTCAAACCAGTCTGCCATATGGGATCCAGCTCCTAACACACAGCACTTAACCGCTGCACTTCCGGGCTGGCCCCGTTCCTACTTAAGATACACACGACTCCAGGTGGTTAAGTCCACCTAATGGACACAGGTACAGTATCAAAGTAAACAGAAGTGTCCTTCACACTTTCTGTCCTTAGAGGCCCGAGACCCACTAAATACACTCAGTAACTTTGAAAAGAGCCTTTTTTTAAAAAGGAGGTGTGGTAAAGGAAAGAACGCCGACACAGAGTTCGGGGTGCTGAATTCAAGGCAGGTGCATACAAATTCGTTACGAGATGTTATCCTCTCTAGAAAGAGCCTGAATTAACTAAAAAATAAGACTACAGGAAAATACTTGTAGTAAGACAAAATGACAAAACCTGGAGCATTCAGAGCTCTGGGAACATGTCACAGAGCTTCGGATCAGCTGGCCCAGGAGGCTTAACAAGGAAGCCATTAGAGACGCCCTGCTGGGCCTAATTGTTTTTAGAACATATGGTACTTTGTACCAACACCCAGCTGTGAATTCCCTGGCTTTTGTCAGTTCATGTCACAACCTTAAGAAGAAAATAGTAGCTCAGCCCTCCCTCACCTTCCCCTAATTTACTATATTTCTTCTTATAAACTCTTGGACAACTGTCAAGTAACTGGACCATATATAAACTCATCTCCTCCACGTGGAATTATATAAAGAAATAGCATGCACTCACCGAAACGCCTTACAGAGAAAGCGCGATACTGGGGTAGGATAGAAGCTCAATAAATACTTAATGCATCAGGCCTGCTTTCAAAATGTTACTTCATTTTACATTCATCACAGTTGCTGGGTATGGGCCAAAAACCAGTTAGTGCACACACACACAATGTTGATAAAGCTTTTAGCATTTATTAAAATTAGGATAACTGCTGTATTTCCCTCGTAGAATAAGGTTAAGTTAAAAATAAGGTTGCACTTCTACAATGTCGACCTAGAAATACGTTTAACACAATGAATACTTCGTATAGAGAAGATAATAAATATTGGTTGACTGGAACTACAGATGCTGAAAATTAGAAGAAAAATTTTGTACTAAAGATACAGAACATGAACCAATACACATTAAAGAAATTCTATCGGTACTTAAAAATCAAAACATTCTTTACTAATAAAATCATTCTGCGGGACCAGCAGTTAGCATACTGGCTATGTCGTTGGACTCCATGTAGTCGACCGCAGTTCGAATCCTGGACTCAGTGGCTTAAACTCACGCCGGGCGCGTGTGCGTGCATGCCCAAGATCCCGAAAGGAGAATGGAGGAGAAGGGATTTGCGGCATGGCTATTCCCTCTGGGGGGGTGATTTCTCACTTTCTGTCTCTCTATCTGTCTCTGTCTGTCTGGTGAGTGCACATGCCCTATAGCAAAAACCTCTCAAAAAAAAAAAAAAAGAAAACGAAAAAAAAAAAAAACGAAAACAAAAAAAAACCACACATTTTGCTCCAGGGAGAAAAAGTTCTTCTCAAATTTTTAAAATCAAAGACCACAGAATCCTTTGGTTTAGATTTTAATTTGACTCAATAAAGAAGCAAAAATTCACTAACCTCTCAATTATAGTATCTGATGATAATAACTAGAAAGAGATACTTCCCTTAAAATGAACAAAATTGGCATTTATTTTGCATTTAAAGGAAGCTACAAGAGGGGCCGGCAGGTGGCATGCTTAAGGTGCTGGATCCCACATGGCTCACTGTGGGGTTTGAGTTCCAGACCCGGTCGGTGGCTTAAAAATTATGCCAGCCCGTGTGCCTGCCTCAGATCCCAAAACAATGATGGAAAGGGGACTGCTGCATGGCTATTCCTCTTGGGGTTGATTTCTCACTTTTTCTCTGTCTCTGTCTCTCTCTGGAGAGTGCACGTGCCCTAAGACCAAAAAAACAAAAAAGCTAAACACAAAAGTTAGCTTTTCGGTCAGCACACATGCATCTGGGCCAGTTCTGAGAACCAGCTACAAGCCCAGGATACAGAAACATCTGTTCAGGGTTAATTCGAGTCACTCGCCACACTACTCTTCTCACTGTATGCCATTCTCACGGTTTTCACAGTCAGTAAACTGGCAGGGGAAGCTCATGACAAAACATAAAGATAACAATATATGAGTATTAATTTAATATCCCAAGTAAGGGTAAATAGAAAATCTTAAAGTCTTTGAAAATCATTGTGTACAGTGTGAACCTAGCGGCTCTGTACAGAATGGGAAGAGTCTTTGCGGGCTTTAGAGACACTGTTGATACAATCAGATCCTGGAGTTGTCATTTTGTGTGTGTGTTCTATTTACTAAAAAATACAAAGCAAATCTAATTTTAGGGACAAAAATTAAAGATTCCCTAGCAACAAAATGTACAAAGATGAAATGAGAGATCTCAGAAGTTCTATGTCATTAGCCAATCTATTTACTAAAAAATACAAAGCAAATCTAATTTTAGGGACAAAAATTAAAGATTCCCTAGCAACAAAAATGCACAAAGATGAAACGAGAGATATCAGAAGTTCTATGTAATTAGCCAATAAGAAAACAGTTGCTGAGCTTTGTAAATCTGCAGAATTAGTGAAAGTCAGACATGAGATTTGTTGTGTATTTTATTCTGTAACACAGAACTAAAATAATGACACCAATGCTTAATTATAGTGGTGAATCTTAAATTGGGGACATCGCCCTTCTATTTATGCTTGTATCACTGACTTGCTGAAAAGTGATGAATAAGCCCACGGGATAGAGGAAACACAACTTTCTCAGCGAGGCTGACCAACGCAAGGATCCTTTGGCCAGACCCTAACGTGGCAGATTTTCAGAACTCCAGAGCGGAATTTAAAAGACCACTTTCCTGCCGATCTCTTGCGTTTTTCTCTGTCCATCCTCCCATAAGGGATCTGACATTACTTGCTCTTTGGAGCTACACAACTGCAGGTACAATCAAGTGGGTTTTTTCCCCCACTTAGAGACCAGGTATTCTGGGTAACAGCCAACTCTTTTCTGTAGAACTCTGAATGCCCCTGCATTCTGGATTCACCTCTCCTAACGGTCACATACAGAAAACCCTACTCCAGAATCGGAATCCACAGGTAAATTATGATCTTTTTCATTGTGCAATAACTTAGCCAGGAGAAAAGGGACAGGCCAGAAACCAAGTGACAAAAAAGGGATTCAAGTCTTTTAGACTTCTCAATGAAGAATCCCACTTGGTACCAGTTATTAAGAGGCAGTCCAGCCTCGTCTGCTAGATGCTGGTGGGTGCTGATGCCCGCATGGGTGCCAGGGGCCCAGGCTCTCCCTGGCTGAACCTTAGTGAAGCTTGTGCACGGGGTAGAGTAAGGTCATGTGTTCTGCCCCTTTGAAAGGCAACTTTTCATTGGAATAATAGTGTACCACTTCCGGGATGCTGTCGAACACAGCGCTCGTCTGATTCAGCGTGTATTTGTTGTCTTTGGTCTGCGCCACGATGATGTGGACACATCCTTGACTTGTCCTGGAACAAAACGAAAAGCAAGGAGACATGAATGAGTGAGCACGGGATCCCTCCCCCACGAAAACAACCCCAGCCAGATTCATAGTAGGTGGCTAGGTCCTCGTCCATTTCCGGAACTGCTCTGGACAAACAGGAACACATCTGACCAGCCGGGCGCAGGGGCGTGCCTGTCATCCCAGCTCCTAGGGAGGCTGAGGCAGGAAAACACTGCAATATTTTTGGGAAAACTAATAAGACCCTGTCTCTAAAAAAGAAATAGATTTGATGTTCCAGGGGAGTGCTCGGAAGTTTCACATCCTACCCGTGTGTCACCCTTGGACTGTTTATCTTTATGACATGTTAAGTCATCAGGTACTGGACCAAAAAGGAAACAATTAAAAAAAATTTTTTTTAAATGCAGAGTCTCTTCTAGCCCCCAAAAGCAAAACTGGAGCTTAAGCCAAAGCACGAGGCTACTAAGGTGTTTAAACTCAGCCTCCTTCTACAGGTGAACGACACATATAAGCACATAGAAGTAAGCGTTCTTCCTCCTTTTTTTCCCCAAAAGGAACACATGAATAATAATAATAATTAATAATGAACTGCTTCCTCCCGCCCCAATCTGGAAAGACAATTCCTGGTTGTATATAATGAAGCTGGCACTGAGGCTCCAAGATTGCAATCCAGGAGCACGGATTTCAGGGACACAGTGCAGCTATTCCTGGTATTGTATGTCTGGGCCGATCCCACCTTCTGAGCCTGCTGCTGGAACACCACCTCCCCCCGCTGCTCTGCTCCAGCCTGATTGTTTCAGCTGCAGGGGCTCAGCTTCCTCAGGAAGGAAGTGCTGTTAGGGTTCTTGACAATGATCCTCCAATACAGCGCCACTGAGCTCACAGAGCAGCGAGAATTTCCATGATACGCGCCGCACCAGGCCCACCGGGCACAAGTGAGCCGACAGGGGAGTAACAGGCAAGTCAGCACTTCCTTCTTCACCCGAAGAGACTGCCATCAAAATTGCAGCTGGCATTTTGACAATCAAGGGGTCTGATTTATGGAAGTCCCCAAACTAGTGAATAAAAGAGTGATGACTGAACTACCGTCAGAAATTCTTTCGGTTGTTTTTCAATTTGCCAGAGGGCGTGAGCACTTGCCAGAGATACAGAGACAGAGAGAGGGAGAAGGAAAAAGGACCCCCATTGGGGTGTGGTCACGCCGCAATCCCTTCTGCATTTCTTCATCCTGTCGGGACTTGGAGGGCACACATACGCCCCTCATGTGTTTTTCAGGCTGCTGGAGCTGAGATTTGAACCGCACCGTCAGTAACGTAAAATCCGGCTTCCTTAACCACCAGGGCATGGGGCTGGCCTAGAAACCATTCTTTTTATTAGGTATTATTTCTCTAATGAGAGGATCTGCTTCAGATCAGGTAATGGGTGGCAGAAACTGACTAAATATAACGGTAATGAAATACAACCTTCATTATAATACAGATGGGATCTTCAAAAAGTCCATGGAAACACATATTATGAAAAAAAGCACGTGTGGATTTCAAATATTTTGCACCAAAATAAACTTAGACTTTAATTCCATTTTCCCCCAAACTTCTTGAAGTCCTCTGGTTTTGAGCCATTTGCCCAATACCAATTTTGCATCCTAGTCAGAGGGTTTCACGTTCCATTGCCCAAACATGCCAAGTGATTGCATCTTATTTCCTCATAACACACCCCTGGGAACCACCTTCAAATGGTACCTTTCTAAGGAGTATTTATTTATTTATTATTTATTTTAGTTATTTTTAAAATTTCACCAGAAAGAGACAGAGAAAGAAAGAGAGTGAGAAAGCAAGCTGCCAGGTCTGAAACTCAAACCATGGTCGACCATGTGGGAGTCCAGTGCCTTAACCACCACGCCACCTGCTGGCCCCCAAATGATATCTTGTTTGACTGATCATCTACTCTCTACTCGTGGTGGAAAACCCGGCATGGTGTACCCTCCCCTCAGAGATAAGGAAAGCCCACGGGCTCACTTACTTCAGTGCAATGGAGTACCTGCTGTTCCCTGACTCACTATTTCGAACCAGGTAGCCAGCTTCTTTGCAGGCTTGCAGTCGACTCTCAGCCTCAGCACGGGTAATGGCACCATGATACCAACTGAAAAGCGGCAGGAGAGGGGAGGAAGGTACCGTGAGTGTCAGAAATAGATCCACACTGGGCCTTTGTCCATAAAGTGTGCTTGCTTTTTAAAGTTTATGTATTTTTTCCTTGAGAGAGAGAGAGAGAGAAAGAGAGCAGGCAAGCACCCTCAAGAGGGTCTCAACACCGTGCTCCATCCCCAGCTTCAGCCAGTCCCAGATCATGGGCACACATGTGCCCGGCATACTTAGGGAGGTCCCTGGACATGGGCCCAACCCCGTCCTGTTGGGTCGATCCCACAGGTACTGTGTTTCGCTGCTGCACTTCACCGCGACACCACCTTCTGGACCCATAAAGCATGATCTGAAAAGAGCTTCTGGAAGAAGCGAAACAGCCTGAACTAGAAACTGCTTCGCATTCAGAACAGACAAATTGCAGATATGGGTGATCCTGGACCACCAGGATCACTTGTACAAGAGTGAGTTATGGAGGCTAGTGTCACTTGAAAAGTTATCACAGTGTATAGGAGAATGAAACTTAAAATAAGGTTCTTGGGATGCAGTGCAATTTCCACCCTGCACAAATGCACCCGTCTTCCGAGGTAAGTTTTCATCAATGAGCCCCACCCAGATAGGTTTTCATGAACCGAAATAATCATGCCCGGTGACTCCCACCCCATACAAGACAGTCAGCTCCCAGCCATGGCTGCTACCAGCGTCTGTGGATGAGACTCACGGCTGCTTCTCCAAGGGCAGGCCTGGATCCACCTTCTCCCCCTCACTGTGGTCAGAGAGGGTTGGCTTCAAGATTTTCTGGGTCCAGCTTTTCTGCCGGTGGTGCTGCCTCACCGTCTCCTCCCTCACGGAAGGTCGCTCAGATCCTTCAAACTGAACTGGAAGGAAGACTCCATTTAATCTTGGAGACCACAGAAGGGACCGCTGACACTTCACACAAAAACCTCCCTGCCCGCCTTAGCTCAGGCAAGCATTTCCCCTTTAACACGAGCTCTGATAAACTACAAGATGCCCTGGATAGTTGAGCTCCTGCCGTCTTCCATATCTGATCACAAGCTGGTGTCCCATACATGGCACCAGTTTCTGGAAAACATTTATCAGTATAAAACCGTTCTAGAATACGAGCGGAAACCACTTTAATATGTTTTAGCATGGACTTAAAAAAAACTCTTAGTATTTTTAGAGTGAAAGACTAAATAAACATATTGGGTCGTGGGAAAAGTCATAACACATGTTTGCATAGAAAAATACGTCATGGTTTTTCTGACAGCCCAATAGTTATGGACAATGAATGATTCCTTGCAAGAGTTTGTATCCTTCAGTGAAACGAAAGGAACACTTTTTACTATAAAACAAAAAGAAAAATCAACTCATATACAGAATGAAATGAATAATACCTTAAAGATGCTATGACATCTGGGCTGGACAGAGGACACCGAGATAAAATGCCACACCTCTCATAGTACCAAGAAAACAGCAGGTACTGAAGAGAGATTTGTTGAAAACAAGACTAAAATCTAAAACAGACTCAAATGCTTACTGTCAAAAGTATTACCTTCTGTACCCCCCCGCCACATTGGCTCTACTTTTCATTGCAAACCTCACTTTACTGTTAGAGGGAAAAGATATCCCTAAATTATCTGTAAAAATCAAAAAGCAAAAATTTTGTGGTCAGTCACAGAAAAACTATGCCCTGGGAGAAGTATGAGTGGGAACTACCTCTAACAGTGATTGGCAACGTATTCATCAGCTTTCTCTTGCATTATTCTAAGAACTCCCACTTGAAGGGTTGCGTCCTTTAGGAAGATTTTTCAGGTTTATTTGTTTCTTCCATGAGTGAGCCAAGAGGAGAGACAACACCCCTCTCCCCATCCTGCAAGAGGGCTCAGATGCCACAATTCATTCCCTGTTTCAGCCTCAGATCGTGGGCACACACATGCCAAGTGCATTGGAGAAGTCTCAGGACTTGAACAGAGAATCTTCCCATGTGGGACTCCTTCTCAGTGTCCTGCCGTACCCCTGTGCTACTGTCGGGCCCCTATGAGGATTTCTGAAAAAAACAAGCCAAACACCTGGCTTCACCCAGCCTTCCAAACACCGCCACCTGTAATCCATTTTACTTCATTTTTAAAAAAAGCTTTCTTTGCAATTGCCAGAGGGTGTGTGTGCGTGGCAGAGAGAGAGAGAGAGAGAGAGAGAGAGAGAGAGTCCTTGCACATGTGTATTCCCAACAGGGTGTGGTCATGCTGCAATCCCTTCTCTATTTCTCCTTGTCTTCAGTATTTTTGGGGCACAGAAGCACAGGGCCCTGGCTTGCTTTTTTTTTTTTTTTTGGAGAGGTTTTTTGCTATAGGGCACGTGCACTTGCCAGACAGACAGAGAGAGACAGAGACAGAAAGCAAGAAATCACCCCCCAGGGGGGATGGCCACACCACAATCCCTTCTCCTCCATTCTCCTCTTGGGATCTTGGGCATGCACGCTCACGCGCCCGGCGTGAGTTTAAGTCACCAGGTCTGGGATGCGAATCGCGGTCAACTACATGGGAGTCCAGTGACATTAGACACTAACTGCTGGTCCCCTGGCTTGCTTTTACAAGCTGCTGAGGCTGGGACTTGAACTGCACTGTGGGCCGTGTGGGATCATGCTTCCTTAACTACTGAGCTATGGGGCAGCCCAATACTGGCATTAAATAAATAGGGGTTTTAACAGGCACCAGTAAGTTAGAAAAGGCTGCTTCCTGTTTGAGACTGCAGCAGTCGGAGAGTAAGTGTTCAAGGATCAGATATGTCTTTTCAATAGTCATTTAAAGTATTTCCAAAACATGAAGGGATCTTCAAACAGTTCATGGAAATGCCCTTTACCAAAAACTACGCATGGGTTTTGAAAGTTGTTTGCAACAAAGTAAACGCATACTGAATTCCACCTTTCCAGGAAGTTTCCAGTTGGCCTGGTAGGTGTGCTGGGAGAAGAGAAGGGACCATCAAGGAAACCACAAGGATCAACAATAAATGCAAAAGGAGGGACTCAAGATCAGCCCTAGCTTTTCTTTTAAGATTTAATAATATTATTATATGTTTTGTAAATAAAATAATTATTTATTTAATTCCGTTTGTTATTATCATTATTTTTTTAAGTCTTTTTTTTTTTGGAGAGGTTTTGCTATAGGGCACGTGCGCTCGCCAGACAGACAGACAGACAGACAGAAAGCGAGAAATCACCCTCCCTTCTGATGGCCACACCGCAATCCCTTCTCCTCCATTCTCCTCTTGGGATCTTGGGCACGCACGCACATGCACCCCGGGTGAACCGCGGTCGACTACATGGGAGTCCAGCGACATAGCCATTACGGTGTTGGTCCCTATTATTTTTTTTGGAGAGATTTTCACTGTAGGGCGCGTGCGCTCGCCAGACAGACAGAGAGAGACATAGAGACAGAAAGCGAGAAATCACCCCCCAGGGGGGATGGTCACGCCGCAATCCCTTCTCCTCCATTCTCCTCTCGGGATCTTGGGCACGCACGCACACGCGCCCGGCGTGAGTTTTAAGCCACCGGGTCCAGGACACAAACCACGGTCGACTACGTGGGAATCCAGCGACATAGCCATTACGCTAACTGCTGGTTCCCTATTATTTTTTAATTTGACCAGAGAGAGAAAGGGAAAGTGAGAAAGCCAGGCACCAGGTGCAAACTGCAGTCGGCCATGTGGGAAGCCAGGGCCTTTAACTGCCATTCCATCTTCCAGTCCCTATTATAGGTTTTTTTTTTTTTTTTAATTTGCTTTATAGCAAGTGCACTCGCCAGAGAGAGAGAGAGAGAGAGAAAGCCATCAGGTCGGGGACTTCAACCGGGGTCACCGAGGTGAGAGTCCAGCGCTTTAACCACTATGTCACCTGCTGGCCCCCAGTCCTAGCTTTTCATCCAGGGCAGATTCTTATTTGCCTGTCTCACAATCCAACTGGGAAGGGAGCAGGGACGAGATACAGCGAGGAACAGAAAGAAAGCGCCTGGCTGCGAAGCCCAGCGGCGGAAGTCCCAGACCCGCCCTCACCTGAGAGCGCGCGCACGATCTGCTCCTTCTTCCACTCCCAGGGCTGCTCGTACTCCGCCGCCGGCCGCTCGTCGTTCTCCGGCAGCCGGCTGTCTGGGGGCCGCGCCTTCCCCTCGGCCCTGGGGCCCGCTTCTGCGGGCTCATAGGGAGTGTCGTACAGCTGCGGCGGCTTCCCCAGAAGGTCCTTGGAACTGCGCCTTCGGGCCGGCGTCTCCGACTTCACGCCGTTTTCCCCCGGCTCGCAGGGGCTATCGAGCAGCTGAAGGGCTTTCACCAGGGGATCTTTGGAACCGCGGCGTCTGATTTCTGAAAAACATGCACCGTGCACAAGGTCTAGGAAGAAAAAGTGCCGCCCGGCCTGGCCATTATCCAGTCGCCTTCACCTCTGTCTTCCGGTTAGGGTGGCAGGTAACTGCAAAATTGTTCCTTAAGGGGCTGACCGCCTCCCAGCTGTGCCTTGAAAGCAAAAGGCAGGGCCCCCCAACGTTTTCCCTCCCATCGCTGAGCCAGATAATGGACCGCTCCGAAGAGGAGAGTTTCTATCTGAGGACCGGCAGCCTCCAGTTAACCCCTTTCCATTCCGGGTCCTGAGGCCTTCTCCCACTCTAACTCACCTTCTTGTTGGGAAGCCCAGATCAAAGAATCCTAATAAAAAAATCACCTGAGTGTTTACAAAACGTTACCCCATATATGCTGAGAGAAGGTATTTATGTGCAGTAGTTGGGATTTTTTCCTGGGCAGTTTCAATATAGTGGAAAAGCCAGACAGAGTCACAAAAAATATGAAGGGATGTCCAAAAGGCTGTGGGAAAAATGGAATTAAAGTACAAGTTTATTTGGGGGCACACATTTTTGAAATTCATGCAGTCTTTTCATAACACACATTTTCCATGCACTTCATTTGAAGACCTTTCCCTCCCCATCCCCAGTGACTATGAGCTAAATGGAAGTAAAAAGGTGTTGGGGGGGGGGGAACCACAGTAACTCAACAGCTAACCTCTACTGACTGCTCACTGTGTGTGCGGGACCATTCTAAGTGTTCCAAGTGTGGTGTGATCACAACCACTCCATGAGATGGCCACTATTATTTTCCCGGTACAGTTGGAGCAAAGAGCTTAAGAAAACTGTCCAGGGGAACCAGCAGTTAGCGTAATGGCTATGTCGCTGGACTCCCACGTAGTCGACCGCGGTTCGCGTCCTGGACCTGGTGGTTTAAAACTCACGCCGGGCGCGTGTGTGTGCGTGCCCAAGATCCCGAGAGGAGAATGGAGAAGGGATTGAAATCACCCCTGGGGGGTGATTTCTCGCTTTCTGTCTCTATGCCTCTATGTCTCTGTCTGTCTGGCGAGCGCACACGCCTTATAGTGAAAATCTCTCCCGTCCCCCCGCCCCCCAAAAAAGAAAACTGTCCAGACCAGGGAGCCACAAAGCCTGGCTTCGAAAGCAGAAGGTGAGCG